ACCCCCACCCCGTCTCCCGACCTCCCTGGTCCCCCGGTCACTCGCCCCGGGTTGACCGATCGCCGGGTTCCCCGCCTTCCGGTCTCCCGTTTTCCGGTCCCCCATCCCCTCCCTGGCCGTGGCCTGGATCCCCGGTGCGGACATTGAAGTCTCCGCTTCCCCTGGGAGTGCGGAGCCCTCCCGCCCGCCCGCCGCCTGTGTGCGCACGCCGCGCTGCCGCAGCCCCCTCCTCCGGCGGCCAGACCCGCGTCGGTCTTTTAGTGCCGCCAGCGCCTGGCCGTTGCCTCCCCCCGCGGAGCCTCCCTGTCCCCTTGGCAGCCTCCTGCCGTACCGCCCGGAGGGTCCGTCCCCAGGCCGGCCTCGACCCCTGTCTCCGGGCTCCCGGGCCCTTCTGTAGCGCTCAGGGACACCTACCGGGTCGTCGCTCCTGAGGTCCCCGGGACAGCCCGAGGCGGGTGCAGTCCGCAGACCCGGGCTGGGAGTCCCCTTGCGGTCCGCGCCTTCGTGTCGCGTCCGCTACCTCTCGCCCTGGAGCCCGCGGGGACGTTCGGGCCGGGCCACCTCTGCTGCCGGCGTTGGGAAGGGCGCGGACCCAGGGAAGGCGCTGCCTCATCCCGCGACCCGGACAGCTGCAGCGGGGCCCGTGTGTCCTTGGCGCAGAGATGGAAGGCGACGGCGGTCGCCGAGACGTCCCCGGAGCAGATGAGGCGATGCGGGAGCCGCGGCCCCAGCGCTTCCTGCGGTGCAGCTTGATGGAATCTGACGGAGAGGTGCGGCCCCGGTCTGGAAGCTGCCCAGACGCAGAGCGCACAGCCCCGGCTGCTCCTGCAGCGTCGTGTACTTCTGCTCTGCTAGACCCGCCGCCCAGCCGCGCCGGGCCTGCATCGGCTCTCGGTGTCCCCAGTGCCCCCTGGGACCCTGGTCCGGAGCCCCCGGGTCTCGCCACCGCCTCTGCCACCGCAGCCGCAGCCGCGCCGACCCCGGCGGCGGCCGCGACCCAGGAGGATGCTGGAGCCCCTGAGGCGAAGCCAGAGCCCGGGCGCGCACGCGAGGATGAGCCCGAGAAGGAGGACGACGAAGAGGACGACCTTAAGGCTGTGGCCACCTCCTTGGACGGCCGCTTCCTCAAGTTCGACATGGAGCTGGGCCCGGACTCCTTCGGAACTGTCTGCAAAGGGCTGGACACGGAGACCTGGGTGGAGGTGGCCTGCTGCGAACTGCAGGTAAGGGCTGCTGCCCGTGGGTGGGCCGGCAGGGAAGGCGTCCTCTGGTGCGTCCTTGCTCCTGCGCAGGGCTTTAGGCAGCTCTGGAATGGTGGTGACAGGTGTATGTCATCCACTGTGTGTCCGACAGGACGCATGTTCTGTGTATGGACAGCCAGCTGTGGTCGTTTCTGAGCCCGTGGGCAGGTGGAGGAGTCAAGGCCGGGTGTATGCGGTGCCTGAGTGTCCTCACGGGAGCCGAGGTTTGGGAGCGCGGACAGTGGAGGCTCTGTCGTCCCTTGCTCCTTGGAGGGCCTCAGAACCCTCTTTACTGACTCAGAAGAGCCTGGAGGCAGTGAGAGACGCCTGTGTTTAGGCCCTTCTAGGTGGCTTGGAAGCTCCCAACTGACCTTTTCCTGTGTCCTGCAAGGGGTTGGTTGGTGTGATAGTTGCAGAAACCTGCAGAGGCGTCCTCTGACTTAAGGCTGGTGCTTGGTGGGCCCTTAGGCCAAGGCGGGAAGTCAGCCACCTCCTGG